CACATTGTATTTAGTTGTCATGGCTCCTTGGCCTTCTCCAGTGTTATAGTTCTGTAGTCTTTTATAATCTTGACACTTGTAAAGAGTAATAGTCATATATTTTGTACAATGTCCCTCAATATGGATTTATCTGATGTTTTCTCTTGATTGGTTTCAAATTACCCATTTTTGGCAAGAATATGGCAATTACAATGTGCCTTTTCAATATGTCATATCAGGGGCTACCTGAAATCAATGTCTTTTTACTGATGACATTAACCTTGATTACCTGATTAAGGTAGTGTCTCCCAGGTTTCTATCCTGTGAAGTTATTTTCCCCCCTTTATAATTAATAAATATCATTATTTTATGAGTTGTAATCTAATATCGTTATTTATTTTGTTGCTAAAATTATTCCAGGTTTGGAAACTGAGAAGAAATGTTAGGAAAATAAGAGCAAAAACAAATAAGTATGCAAGTAATTAGGAATGTGTAAATAATTATGTAGGTTAGTCTAACTGTAAAGAATATTGCTCCCAAGCCTATAATTTTCTTTAAAAAAGTGGAACCAACTGCAAGCCTAAGACATTTCTTGAAACAATCAGAGAGCTAAGGTCAAGGGCAACCACCTAACCCAAAATCTGGGGAGACTTGTGCTGTCAGGGAAAGACAGGTGTGAGTACCAGCTGACCTAGAGCAGGCACAGCTGGCAATGGGTAAGAAGATTTCAGGTTTATAGAGGCAAATTGTGGTCAGAAAGGAGTGGGAAGTTCCTGGAGCAGCAAATATAGGGGAGCTTGAACTCTTCTTGCAGGCTTTTTTTCCATAGGCTCTGCTTGCTGAGAGCCCTGATAAAGAAACATCAGTCTTGGTACAGGCCTGGGGGAAGGGAACAGCAGTTGCCCTGGGAAGGAAACAAAATATTTCCTGGATCCTTTTCTTCTTAAGTTCAGTAAGTGAGCAACATCTATTATCCTTTGGCCACTTGGTACATTTTGTAGAAGTTTTTGAGAAATACTCTGAGGTATTAAACAAATGCTGACAATGGTGATTTCTTACTTTATGGATGGGCTGTTGCTCTTCTTGTACTAATTAACAAACTGATAGTGGACATACCCTCCTCTCCAGAGTTTTAACCTTTTTATCCTAGTAGTCAAATGGCTCCCTTTCCTGTGTTTAGACTTTCATTTTGTTAACTAACTTCTTGCTAGACAGTAGTCCCCTCTTACTTGTGGGGGATACATTCCAAAGCCCCCAGTGTGTACCTGAAACTCTAATAAGCAAAATAAGGGTTTCTTGAACACATGCACTGTGATATCATGACAGTGGATCCAATAACCCAGACAGCTACTATGTGACTCACCAGTGGGGAGTATACACCGCATGGATACGCTGAACAAAGGGATGATTCACGTCCTTGGCAGGACAGAGCGGGCTGACAGGAAATTTTATCATGCTACCAAAAACGGCACACAATTTAAAACTTATGAACAGTTTATTTTTGCAATTTGCTACCTAATAATTCTTTTGGACAACTGTTGACTGTATGTAACTGAAACCACAGAAAGAGAAACGGTAGATAAGGGTTTAAATGTGTACTTTAAGTGAGGTAAAGAATTAGGTCTTTTTATATTACTCTGTAGTCTTAGAATGCTGAGATGGAAAATATAAATCATGATACCGATTATTTTCTTGTACATATACCTCATTTGAAGTATTATTGAACATAAACAGGAAGACAGATTTCATAGTGGATATCAAATCTGGAGTTTGCTTTATTGGCAGGTCTTCTGCATTTTAAAGTCTGTATTAATATACTTGTTTATATTAACTATGCTAATGGACCACAAAGAAGCCATGCATATCTTTAGTTGGGACTATAGAAAAAGTGTTGCCCTTTGTTCTTAATGCAGCTTGTTAATTTTATGGCTTTCCAGAGCATAATATTGTAATTGCTATAGGGCAGTCTAATCATAGCGGTGTAACAGAATTTTTTTTTAAAGCCCTGTTTAATAATGTAGCAACAAATATTTCAAACATACCCAGAAACCAAATTTAGAAAAGAATGATTTTATCTAGATAGAACACTTTAAGTTTTGCAAAAAGTATATCACAGAGTTTGGCATTGTAGAATATACCTATACAAGCATTTTTGCCCTCACTGATGAGGTTTTCATGCATCTCCTTGAGGTCCATCAAAGTCAGTGAATAAATGTTGGAGTATAGCTATATGTTATGCCTTGTCTGTGCTCTAGAGATAATCTCTGCATTTAGATTAATGTTAAGGTAAATTTGGTAATGTTCTTTTTTGTTACTGTTTTTTACGACTCTAGAGCATTGCTTGGTGAAGAAACAAATCTTTGGGGCATTCTGCATGTTTATAGGGCATTTATGAATGGAATTGAAACTCCAGAGAGCCATTTTTTAGATCCCTTTTGGATAACCTATACTGAGTAAAGTTATTATAATTATTTTTTTCTACAGTAGGTATTCAGTAAATATTTTTTAATAAATAAGTGTTCCCTTGTCTATGTATAGATTTTCCTCTTAAGTCATGTTTCAAGATTTTATCATTCTGAACAGGGAGAGATTTTGCTACAAATTTTCTCACCTTGACAGTGTTTATTCTTTTCTGATGATACAGATTGAGCATCCCTAGTCCAAAAATCCAAAATCTGACACGCTTCAAAGTTTGAATTTTTTAGTGTCGTCATGGTGCCACAAGTGGAAATTTCACATCTCACCTCATGTGATGAGTCACAGTCAAAACACAGATGTATAACATATGCTTTATTCAGTGTCCTCAAAGAAAACACCTTCCCCAGCCCCCTTCAGCTATGATATATCTTTTACAAGAATACCCAGTTTGCCCCAACCACACATCCACAAAGGGTAATAAAATGGCACTTGCAGGCTGAATGTATCAACAGCAGGTTCCTCATGGCATTACTCACTGTGCTTGTTTTTCTTTGTTATGTGATGTGAAGATATTGTTGAAAACATAAAAAAGGCACACATGATTACCTCATAGGGTAATAATGTAAATATTCCAAAATCTGAAAAAATTCAAAATCTGAAACACTTCTGGTCCCAAACATTTTGGATAAGGGATACTTAACCTGTGTATAGCATCATTTATTTCATCTGTTTTATGCAAAATCCTGCAGATTCATTGCGTTGTTTCACATTTATGTATTGTTATGCCAAATTTTGCATCTTTATACTTCTTTATATTTCTCTCATCTACTTCTTCCTCTGTTATGCTGTGGGCATAGCTTTTTGCCTAAATTACAGTGTTGTATGCCTTTTTATTCTCTGACCAAATGTTTGGTGACTTTTTTCTTATATTTTTTTGCAAATGCACTTCCTATTTATAAAGGGTAATATACAATATCAGGGTATTTATAATATTGTGAAGGTAATTCTAGAACCTCAGCCAGAAAGGATTTTTAGAATTGTCTAGTTTAGCCTTTTTCCTTTATGAATGAGAGTAATGATGCCTGGAGAGATAAGCAGACTTTGTCAAAATTACTATGAAAGATGTTAGTGCAAGTATGCTTGAAAGTAATGACAAGAAAAAGGAAGACATTGTAAAGAGGTGAGAACAAGGGAGGCAGGATAACCTGATAACAGAGTATAAATCTTCATATTTGTATATTTGTTTAGTCATCTGGATTCCTTGTAAATTTATCAGTCTTAGAGGTTACCCTTTTCAAAAGAAGAGTCCCATTCATAGGCCTAGTGGTATGCCAAACATAAATAATATAAATCAAGGAAATGACTTGAATGTCATGATAAGCAAGAAGAAAAAAACCTGTTTATTGAGCACTACTGTGTGCTATGTGCTTTCACACAAATTATTTCAAAGACAAGATGCAATCAACTCTTGAACATTCAAGATTCTTATTTTCATTTGGTTATCTCATTGATTTCAGTGTCTCTGTCAGAGGGCAGGCAAGAAAGGAAAGCCCATGGAATTCAAGTTATGCAGAAGTTGCTCTGGTAGAATAGGGATGGCTGAGGGGGGTGGGATAAGTAAATGTAGTAACTTAAAGAAAAGATCTAAATTCCCTGTGGATTTCACCTACACCCATCTCGTGATCTTGTAGGATAAATGTGTTGTATCCTCTTTGGAGAAATAACCAATAGTAACAGAGAAATTCAAGGTTAATATTTCTGCACACAGAGTAAATTAAATTAAATTAGGGTTGTCCCAACATATACTTCATTGAATTGTAAATTTTAGTGTTGGTGTTACTGTTCAGTTCTGTTTTTATGATATTTTTTTCCTGTTTGCTTTTGTCAAAAATCATCCCTTTTTGGTGTGAGTTAGAATGCTTTTCAGAGTTAAACACTAATGATACAGTTTTTTTGTCAATGTTTCTAACTTAATAATTGTTTTTGGACTAAGAGTAAATGTAGTATAAACCTTCCTTTACACTAATGCCATCTTTTTATTTAAGTTCAATTATTTATATACTACTAAGGAATGCAGAGTATCAGTACCACAGAAAAAGTAAAATTGCCTATGTATATTCAGTAAAATATTTAAGACATATATTGTTAATTTCATTGACAGGATTTGATTAAAAGCATTAAAAAAGTCTAAATCAAAATCAATTGGTAATGTACCTATTTGGATAATGAAAAAATGAAACCTGTGTTTTAAAAATTGGAATATTTTTCTGTCCTGGATTATAATTTGGCTTCTGTATCCTTTGTAGGACTTTCCATATGTGAGATATTTCTGATGACTGAAAACATTTTTTTTTTTCTTTTTCTTAGTGACCGACTTGGAAATGAAAACATTTTTAATGTAACAATTATATGCATATTTTATTATAAAAGTGAGGCAGATTACCTTATGAGAGATTAAATTTAAAAACAACAACAAAACAGTGTGTCCCTGAAGAATTTAGCATACCTTTGGAAGAAATCTAATTTTGCTAAACTGCAGCTGTCGGCACATATTTAATTTTATTCTAATAGGCATCTTGTTTTCATTTTTATATTTCTTTCAGAGTAAGCGAGGAAAAGGAAGTGACAGAGGAACGACTAAAAGCTGAGCAGGAATCATTTGAGAAGAAGATCAGGCAGTTGGAAGAACAGAATGAACTGATCATCAAAGAAAGGGAAGATATCCTTTTTGAAAGTCCTCTTTTTTAACGTGCAGAAAGTTTGACTATTTCATGAAGAAAATGTAAACTCCAAAGAAATAATTGTTCTAATTTATAACAGGGAATAAATCTGCATGTGCTGCCATTTCTAGGCAATCAGAAAGACACTTAACAGCATGTGATGTTGCTTCCTTTGTGCTTGATAAGGCCATCCAGCTGTTCTGCTGCTGCTGTTATGCTGTGAAGCACATATTTGTCAACTAAAAAGACAATAAGAAATTTGGGCATTAAAATGTAGCATTGGAACTTTGTTAAATTCTGTTCCACTTCTGTAATTGAGCCTGAAACCTCCTTGTATTTGGTATTCTTTCTGGTTAAAGCTTTGACGGACCAAAGGAATTCTACTCTGAAATCATAAGAATAAAAAAAAAATCCTTTCTGATATATAGATGTTGTAATTGATAAGTGTTTACGTTGCAGCATAAAACCACCAGACCATTCTCGTGGAGCAGAAAACTTGGGTTTAGAAATAGAGAGGGAGGGTGTGTGTGTGTGTGTGTGTGTGTGTGTGTGTGTGTGTGTGTATTGTGTTGTTTATAACAAAGTATAGTAAAAACAGATGTTTTAACTTAAAAGTTGTATGTGAGGGTGTATATGAGTTAAGATAAGCATATTTCTGAAGTTTCTGTTGAATGGGAAGAATTACTTTTCTTGGGGTGATTTATGCAATGGCATTGATATAAAAGAGATGTGACTGTCTCTAAAGTTAGGATGATGGATCTGTCAGCTAAACTAGCATGTGAGTGCTTGAAAGAACCATTGTCCTTATTGGCAGTATCATCATTAACTTGATCGTTAATAATTATTTCAAAGATCCCACAAGTGTCAAAATGTTCATATATTGATAATAACTATGCCTTTGTGAATACCAGAGAAATGGAGGAGTAAAGATAAACTAATTAGCTTGAAAAATACAGGACTATAACTGTAAAAAATGAGTCCTGAACTTTTGTTTTTCAAATAGTGGGAGCTCCTGATAGGAAATTAATCAGAATTCCCAGACTTGATTTGCTGAGTAGAACATTAATAAGGCTTTATTGGCCCCACTTTAGAGTACACAGAAGTACTCTAAAGGAATACTTTTTCAATTTTTTTGTCTATATCTCTAGCATTTGTTTGTTCATTTGTTTTATCTTTACTATGAGAACCTGGTCATCTCTAGTGTTTGGGTAATCATCTCCTGATTTCTCTTTTCTTTTTTTTTTAATTTCAGAATATTAAGGGGGTACAAATGTATTTGTTACATGCCTTGAGTCAGGACTATAAATGTGCGCATCACCCAGATAGTGTTCATTGTACCTGTTAGGTGGTACTGCTTCCCCCCACTTGATTACCAATGACTTTTACTTCCCTTTGTGCACTTGTGTGCCCATCAGTTCCAATTTATAAGAGAGTACATGTGGTGTTTGTTTTGCCATTCTTGAAATACTTTGCTTAGGACAATGGTCTCTAGTCCCTTCCAAATTGCTCCAAAACCCCTATGGAAAACAGTATGGAGATTTCTCAAAGAACTAAAAGTAGACCTACCATTTGATCTGGCAATCCCACTACTGGGTATTCACCCAAAGGAAAAGAAGTCATTTTATCCAAAAGACACCTGCACTCAAATGTTTATTGCAGCACAATTCACAATTGCAAAGATCTGGAATCAGCCCAAGTGCCCATCAGCTTATGAGTAGATTAACAAAATGTGATACAGGTATACCATGGAGTACTCCTCAGCCATAAACAAAGATAAATTAATGCCTTTTGGCTTTATCTTTTCTTTACACTATTTGACTTCATTGCCTTTGGTTGTCAACCCTCAGGCTAGACCATCTTTTGTGTTTTTCTTTCTGCTACTATTCTCTCTAGGTTTATAGGAATGCTGTTTAGTCAGAATTCACAACAATTTACTCTTTCATGCTCACGAGTAGTAGTGACTCAGGACCCTAGCACTTTCAAGAAGAGATAGGTTAGGATTCCTTTTATTTGTGACAAAAATTCAATTCATAAGGTCTGTTATTCCTCATATAACAAGAATTCTGGAGACAGGTGGCCTCTGGTATTGATTCAGTGGCTTAAAGTTTTCAGTCCTGGTATCTCTACAATTCTCTTACTTTTTTTTTTAACAATTTCCCTGATTCTAGGCATTACATTTGCAATAATGTAGGCAGAAGAAGGGAAGAGATCCTGGCAATTGTAACTCCTTTTCCCTCTTTTTAAAAACATGAAAACTTCCTGAGAGCAGCCCCTACATCCCACACAGTAGTGTTTTATATCAGTGGTCCCCAACCTTTTTGACACCAGGGACCGGTTTCATGGAAGATAGTTTTTCCACAGGCGGAGAATGTTGCCTCCTGAGCTCCATTTTAGATAATCATGTGTTGGATTCTCATGGGTAGTGTGCAACCTGGATCCCTTGCATGCTCAGTGTGCAGTTTGCGAGGGAATTCACGTTCTTATGAGAGTCTGACACCACCAGCTGATCTAAGGCAGGGGCAGCACTCCAGCTATGAATGGAGTGGTGGGGTGTAGCTTTGGGTGCAGGTGGGGTTTTGCTGGCTCACCTGCTGCTTGCCTCCTGCTGTGCAGCTGGTTCCTGTCTGGCCCAGGGTTAGGGACTACAGTTTTACTTGATATTTATTGTCCTGAACTTTATTATGTGGCCATGCTAAGCTCCAAAGGAGGCTGAGAAGATAAGCATTTAGCTTGTCCAACTGATACAGCAGAAGGCGGCAAGGGAGAAGTAGATTGGGAATGAAGTCAGTCTTCAACTGTAGTAGCAGAAGTAGGGGAAATAGAATTCACTTTTTCTATAAAAATGAGGTGGCTATACTTTGATCTTCCTGGGACAAAAAATATATATAACATCCAGTGGAATTGGGATGAATTGGGGAAAGTAGGTGAGAGAGATTAATAGTAGATAACTTAGAAAGCCTGGCCATAGTTAGAGTGGGTTCTTGTTTGGTAAAATGCTTAAGAAAATTGTGTGGCTATCTAGAAAAGTAGAATCTAATTTCAGTAGACTATTATATATAGTACTGTCTGGGTCAAGATTAACTCTATTCAGTGCTGAAGAAGTCTAAACTCAGCATGGTTGTGAATGGTTTCTTCTGTCAGACTGAATATTAAGATACCCTGGGTGATTGTAGTGACACTATTTTTTATGTTTTCCCCATGATTTAAGCTCGGAGGGTTAGCTTACTACTACCATGGGCCAAATCCAGTAGGATGCCCCCTAAATCCAGTCACACCCATTCCTTACTGTATTACCTGTGGCTGCTTTTATGCTCCAGCTAGAGAGTAACTGTAACAAAGACCCCCAGTGGCTCTCCTAGCCTAAAATATTTGCTATTTGACCTCTACAGAAAAAGTTTGCTGACTCATGATCTATCTTATAAGCTATAAAAGGAGAGGAAAAGGCATGTAAATAAAGTCAAAGACGTAGACATGTACTATAGTTAGACTTATTTTAAATGTGGATTTAAACCAAAAAAGGGTTTGGTTTAAGCATTTATTCTTTATTGTGGATGAGTATTGGTGCAAATTTTAGACCATTATCAAAAATTAAAATGGTTTAGTTGGTATAATTGGTTTAAGATTTTTTAAATCACCAAAAGATAGGTTGTATTTACAGCAGTTTATTGTCAAAGAAAGAAGAAAGGAAGACATGATACAATATTGTCAAAGAAAGAAGGAAGACATGATACAAAAAAAAAATATATGACTTCCATGGTTTTTATTCCAAGTACATTTCATTGCTCAGGTACAAATCTCCTTTACAGAATAAACCTGTCAAGATTAATATAGATGATTTTACAGTACATAAAACTCTATAAAACTTAGAAACATAAAACGAGGTTATAATTTAAAACAATATAATTTTAACTACAGATACATTTACCTATCATACATGAATGATTCAGACCCTTTCGTATACATGAAATCAGATAATTTCAGATCATTTTAAGTCTGTTTCAGTGTGAGAAACTATATCCATGAATTCTGATTTTTGGTATTTTAAAGATGTATTATACTACATTTATGGTTTTTTTTGTTTTAAAAGTTCTAATAACTTGATTTACTGATCAACTATACAAACACAGACCAATGCCTTAGCAACAAAGAAAAGATATTTTACATGTTTGCATTAGGATCAGACTTTTGAAGGATTTGCTCTTACAGAAAAAATTGGGAATTTATTATTAAAACATAAAAATTTTTGGTAATTTTCAGTCTTTAAACAAAGAAAACTTATTTTCGAGAACTTAACCACATAAATGAATATGCCATTTTACAAAAGCACTCTGATGAACATAGGAGATTTTTCTCTGTCTGAATGAGTGTAAAAGGAGAGATAAATCTGAAACTTAAAGAGAAATATGGCCAATAACAATGATTCTAAAACATAATAATGTAAGACACAAGAGATAGCCATTAGGAAAGTTGATTAATATTTGAGCTAATTATATTTCTAAACCATGTCACTGATCAACAGTGGTATCAAAAGCTTACGGAAGGAAAGCAGTAAAGTCTAATGTTTGCCGGCTTCACTGTTTTAACTGGCACAGCAAGGGAAGTGACAGTGAAGAAGAAAGTACAGTGGGCTTTAAAGTCATAATCTGTTTTAACACTGAGTAGCTCTCTGACCCTGTGGGAAAGTTACTGAACTTTTCTGAGTCTCTTTTTTATCTGTATTATGTAGCTAACTAATAATGCCTTCTTTGCAGGCCTACTGAAAGTTTATAGATTCTTTATGTGTGTAAGGAACTTAGCGATGTCTTATACTTAGTAGGCACGGAATAAAAAATAGCAGTTCTCATTACTACTATTAATATGGATAAGGGATGCGATAACTAGCCCTTCTGTTTCCCATTTCTGTGCCTTTTTTCACTGGGGTTTTGATGGTTTTCATTAGGTTATTTAAGTCCTTGGGTTGCTGAGAGGCCCAGTAGAAGAGTGAAATTGATCTGTCTTCTGCTTTGCCTTCTCATCTCTATGGAAGCAGAAAAACCTCTCTTTACCACTTGGATGTATTGGGTGTTCATTGGGAGAGGAAACCAAGTTTTAATTTCTTCTCTCAGAAACCAGACTGACAGAGGTATTTGTGTTTTTTCTGATTCTTATCTGTTTTCATTATCTCTCTGGTTTGGACTTAGTAAATTGAAGAGTTTTAGAAGGGCTTATAACTCACATCTTTGAGCCTATTGCATGAGTGGTTATTTTGGAAACTTTGGTGTAAGAAGAAAGAATTTTAAAGGAACTAGCTATAATCTTTTTGAGGACTGTTTTAGAATGAACCAAAGGTTTCAGTATGTCTGTGTTGAATATAGATTAGAGAAAGTTCACAAGAATTTGATCTAATTGTGTAAAAGAAATAATTGATTCTGAATAACAGCAAGACTTCAAGAATATCCAAAACTTTCTATTTAACTGTCCCATCTCTGCTATAGGAGCCAGACTACCATGCTCTGCCACCATAATCCATTGGACTTTTAACAAGGATAGAAAACTATACTGAACGAAGCTCTATCATATCTAGGTGGAATGGTGTAAAAGGGTAGGAAAGGAAAGTAGAAATAAGTTTCATGAGAAAGAATATAAGTTTCAACAGAAAGGATAAGTCTCTTTTTAATTAATCTTTCTGGCCCTTCAAAAGAGAAGGCAGGAGATTTTCAAGTCTCAGAAATCGTTTTGGGAAAATTAAAAATCCACTTAAAAAGAAGAAGACTATACACAGAAGAGAAGGGACTTGGGAAAGGAACAGGTATTTTGGTGTCTGGCTATGCAATATACTAATATAAGCACCATATCAACTTTGATGAATCTTGGCCTTTTTGTATGAGTAAGTATTGGGTTTTTGTTTTTTATGTTTATAAAATGAGTTATTTAGTGATAGAATATATTCTGTGTGCTTAGATAAAGCCATCTTATTCTATGGCTTTAACAAGCCCTAGAAAATACTGTTTTACTAATAATTATCTTTGACACTGTAGAAGTTGTACTCCTTAAGACCATTTTATTTACTTCATGATGCTATATAAATTTAGCAAGTTTTAGACCCTTGCTATTGTCTAAAACCTGCTAAATTGTCCTGGAATGTAATTTTTTTTTTTTTTTTTTTTGAGACAGAGTCTCGCTTTGTTGCCCAGGCTAAAGTGAGTACCATGGCGTCAGCCTAGCTCACAGCAACCTCAAACTCCTGGGCTCAAGCAATCCTGCTGCCTCAGCCTCCCGAGTAGCTGGGACTACAGGCATGTACCACCATGCCCGGCTAATTTTTTGTATGTGTGTATGTGTATATATATATTAGTTGGCCAATTAATTTCTATTTATAGTAGAGACGAGGTCTCGCTCTTGCTCAGGCTGGTTTTGAACTCCTGACCTCGAGCAATCTGCCGGCCTTGGCCTCCCAGAGTGCTAGGATTACAGGCATGAGCCACCGTGCCTGGCCTTGGAATGTCATTTTAAATCAGAATAAGAGGTTAAATACCTCTATTTGTATTACAGAGAAATGAACATGCTTAAGGAAAGAACTGATTGTTATTAGTTTTGTTGTTGCCTAAACCATTCTTAAAGATTGTTTTTATTCTCTTAAAAATATTTAGATATTAATGCTAAGCACAGGGAGGAATTGATGACAAATGTCTGTAGAAAATGAAGAAATTATATAAATTTATCCATATATTTAATTTCATTCCAGGAAGAGCCTTTAAGGAGTTGTTACTCTTTGATAATGAGTTATATGTGTACTTTATTTTTATAGAACTTACCCAGGAAGTAAGAATAAGAAGTACTTCTCACCCGTTTTGGTCCCCTATGTATGTACTTTTCTTACATGAGAGTTCCTGAGGCTGTCATATGGATAATAAACTTATTATTTTGTGTCTAGTTTTTAAACCCATTGCAGATTAGAAGCAGAAAAATTATAAGTAGGGAATGGAGCTGCAATGAAAATATTAAAGATAACGAGGGAATTGACAAAAAAAAAACTATTTAAAAAAGCACATAAGAGCTGAAAATACACAGCAGTCTAGAACTCTACCCACCTAAATACATCTCAAGGATGCCATGTATTAAATACAGCATAGCACTCTGGGAGGCTGAAGTGGGAGGCTTGAGCTCAAAAGTTCCAGACCAGCCTGAGCAAGAGTGAGACCTGTCTCTACCAAAAATAGAAAACTTAGCCAGTCATGGTGATGCATGCCTGTAGTCCCAGCTACTCAGGCAGCTGAGGCAGGAGGATTGCTTGAGTTCAGGAGTTTAAGGTTGCAGTGAGCTATGATGATGCCACTGTACGCTAGCCCACTGTACGCTAGCAACAGAATGAGATATATTTTTAAACAATTTTTTATATTATTTTATATTATTTTTTGATGAGATTTGCTTTTAGCAATCTCTCTACCTTGTCTGAGACCCTTTTAATATCTATGGTGTGCTCATTTTATAATAAGATAAATAGTTTAACATTCTGGGCTAGATTTTGCTTTGGTTTTGATTTCTTTTGCTTGCTGAAGGCTCCAGATGTGGAATGTGAAACCTCAGCACCCTAGAGAGCAACTTCCATGTTCCTTTATAATGAGTGACACTGGAATTCAAATAAATGTGGATTGGGTCTTCTAAACTTACCCTAGTGGCCAAGATGTTCATTTATTTTTGATGTCCACATGGAAATAAGCTCAGCAGACTGAAATTCAAAAAACATTTATTTTCTACATCTTAGTTTAATTAAAATTTTTTATTAATGATGGTTCTATACTGGGTAAATGGTACTAAATCTGTATAGCATCACTTAAAATTATTTTGGGTCTATTGTTTCTGTGCCTAAAAAAAGAAAAAGTAAAAAATAAAACTACTTTGGAAACTTTCAGCAGTTCTTGCATGAAGAAATAGACTTTCAATAAATCAATATCATAATGATTATTGTTCAGGAGAGTTCATTATTCTGTTTAGCCTTTACATTACTTATCTCTCTTAAAGGGCTATCCTGATGTAATATTTTCAGTTAAATCCATTTGCCATACCACAACTTATAATTGCTTTGATTAGAAGAATATAGTGAATGACTTTATTATTAATCAGTAGGAAATTTGTCTTAGTGTTCTTAACATTAGAATGGCCTCCAGTTACAAATAGTTAAATGATTCAGATGGTAACATTATCACTTCAGTTAGAGACTTCTACAAAAACATTTCTTTTTTTTTTAAATACTTATACCCAAGATTGTGCATGTCCAAACCGTAATTTTTCAGAAGTAGTAAACCTAATTATGATATAGTCATGTAACGATTAGAAGCTAAACAATAACTGAACTTGATTTCCCTATAGATAAGATGGTCACCTTCCCCCCACCCCAATATTATCATCTTTCCTTAATACAGAAATCTCAGGCTACTGAGCATTTTGTTTTCTTGAATCCCTAGGCTTATGAAGAGCAAAGCCAATTGGAGAAAGAGTCCCTGCTATCAAAACAGTGTCAGGCAGTCCTTGAATTTCTAAATAAATGTAGCCTGGAAAATCCAGATATCTAAAGATAATACTTGTGTTTCAGGTGGTCGGATTTTCAAGTAGTTGCTATGATATGTGTGTTTTATTTTTTTGCTATACCTATAAGACTTTTTTCTATACTTCTACAGCTTTTTTCTATAAAGCTGTAAACACAGGAAAATTGACAACAGGCAAAGGAGAAAAGTAGATAAGAGAGATGAAACCAACAGAAATAGAGGCTAGAAATAGTAATTGCCCTAATGAGAAATTTGCACTGAAGAAAATTTGACAATAAAGACAGCCTGTGACATAGTGACAAAACAGAGAATAGTTACTAGTTGAGTGCAGAGAAAAGTTGCCAAATAGCCACCCCTACCTCACGTTAATATCCCCAAGGCATCAGTGAGCCAGGCTAAATGCACAACGTCTAGTTCAGCAGTCTAGAAGGAAAGGGAGTGAGAGGAGGTTTTAATATGGCAGTGTCATTGTTTAGAAACGTCACAGCATTTAGAAGTATATTCTTCATATAACATTTTATGTAGTTTGACATAGCAGAGAAGTAATTTGAGATGCTGATAAAGCAGCTGTTTTCCTTTTATTAAATCGACAACCAATTGTATGAAAAAGTCTATTGGTAAACCTTTAGTTCATTAGAAATTAGATTTCTCAAATATGACTTACCTCAATGTGGGATATAATAAGAAGCACTGTAGTATTTTGGAAAGAGCACCAGAATTACAACATTGTAATTCTTGACTTAGTTCTGCCTTTAAACTATAGCTGTATGACCTTAGTTAAACTTCTGGGAGTCTTCAGAGTTCATTGTACATAACATGTTTAGAATATCTGAAGATGATCAAATGAAGTAAATATATAATTTTTTTAGAACTATAAATTTGTATAAAAATATAAGATTTACAAAATATTTTCTTGTCCTGAAAAAGTTTGCAACATACAAAGTTGAAGTGAAGACATATTTCATATCTTTCAGGTATTATCTTTTATTTCAGATGTTTTCTTCTATTTGAAGATTTTTTTTTGCCTTTAGAGTCCTCATTCAGATTTTTGTAACTAGCTTTCTAATTTTCGAAGCAAAATGTTTGATTATATGAGAGAATTAAATTTTTTGAAGCAGTTGGAAGGAAGCTTGTTGCTAAAAGAAGTCAGCTAGTAATTGCTAAGGCATCTCAACATCATATGTTGTTCTGACAAAGCATAGAAGAAATCTCAAGGAAAGTAATGCAGAAATAAAACTGAAAAAGCTATGATTGGACGAAACCTTTGTAAGAATATTTTATGAATCTGGGTCAGGATTAGACTTCCTTACATAAAATAAGAAAGGCCAAAGTAACACTACTCAAAACAAGATATGTATTTCTTTTTCATGTAAAAGACATCCAGTACCAGCAATTTGAGGAAAGTGTGGTGACTTCATAGATTTTAGGGAGCCATACTTTTTCTGTCTTAGCACTCCAAGCTTCCGTCACCATGTGCACATTAAGTCAGCAGGACAGAGTCTGTTAATTTTGAAAAGTTTGTTCTAAATTTGGTTTCAATTTTGTTTCCCAAAGTGGTTAAACTTAGAAATACAGTTGATTTTTATTTATTGATTTTATATCTTTTGCCTTTGCTAAATTCTCAATTATTAATTTTAATAATTATTTTACAGGTTCCTTAGGATTTTATTTGCAGTCATGTCATCTGCAAATGAAAAGTTTTAGTTCTTTTTAATCTTTATGCCCTTTATTTCTTTTTTTTGCCTTATTGCAAACCCTTCAATTAGGATCTAAATAGAAATGATGAGAGAGAACATTCTTGTCTTGTTTCTTAGAGAGAAATACATATTTCATCCTTAAGTTTGATGTTAATTGCAGGTTTTTGATAGATGCCTTTATATCACATTGAAGAAGTTTCCTTTGATTCCTAGCTCACTAAGAAGTTTTGTTGTTGTTTTCTGTTTTCTGCTTTATAAAATCATCAATGGGCATTGATTGTTCATAGCACTTGACATTCTATTATATATTGTGTATTTCTCTCATATGACATCATTTCTGTCTTGTATTCTATTATATACTGAGAATCTAATACAGGACCTGGTACCCAGTATGTACTCAATAAATACCTGTTACATGAATGAATTGTTGAACCATAGTTGCTTGATCAGAGAATGTCTGACTCTTGAGAGAAAATTTGCACTTTACTGCTAGAGCTGCTTCATCTGGCACTCTGCCACCCCCTGCTGATAGTGTATCTAAATTGCAGTAAAAGCTTGGGAGATGAATAAACATGTCAAAGCTAAAACTGCAAAAAACTGGACTGATGTGACAGTTAAATAATTTAAAAATAAACATATACTCATTATATATAACAAGACTATGTTTGAGATTTAGCAAATATATTTCACAGTAGTTACTGAAGTGTTTTGTTTTCTTGAATGCTAGAAGATGAAGGATCAGTTAATTTACATATGTTAAAGAAATAGAATAAATTGGGAAAGTTGATAGAAATAGAGTGAGAGCAAAAGCATATATTCTATATTTGAATTTCTGCTTTGTCAGCATTTCCTTGCTGTAAGGTACCAGTTAAACTTGAATTTTAAAGAACAAGGATTTTCTAACATCTTAATATCTTGTACTAAATATTTAATATATTGCAAAGAAGTCTAGCTTGTGGCCAAGAATGAAATTTAAAGCTTGTTCTTAAATTTCAGTCTCTTGGTTACACAAGATTCATGGAAACATTAAGTGTAGATCTGAGTGGGATTTCTCCATTACATCAGACAGCTTCTTGGAGTGAAACTGTCTATCCTCTACACTGTTATGGTTACCACTATGTATTTTCGTATCTTAGCCTCCCTATGAAAAAATGGACCATGTGCCAAATATGTTAGTGAAAGTTTCTAAAAATGCAATTCAAATATTAAAAGTTTCTTATTGATATTAAAATGGTCAATCTTGTAAAATGTTAAAATTTTACATAAAGGGTAGCCCTTCTTATGATCAGAATACTCTAGGGTGATAGTGTTGGGAGTACTATAAAGATTATTGTGTGGATAAGTTCCCTACAAGGCCCCATGATGGTAATACTCCTAGATTTTGTCTTTAAAGAAAACTGCTGAGAGGCAATAATTTTTTTTGTATGTGTCCCATTTTCATTAATGCATGGTAATTGATGGAGTTGCAGTGACTTGTAGCAGTAATGAGTTCTAAACATAATAATGCACTCTTTTCTAATAAGTGAGCACTGCTGGGGTTTAAAAGCATACTAAATCAGTTGCTTTAGTATGAATTTATTAGTTTTTTTCAGCATTAGCTTTAATAGTAGTTATTTACATAAGCGTACATCCCATTAACCACCATCAGGGCTGGAAAACATGCTGAACTGTTCATATTTTCATATAATTATTGAACATAATGGTTTCATTTGCATTTCTAAACAGTGATGTTTCTGTCAGCCTTGGAAATAGTGTCTTTACGCAGTCCCTATTTCACATCCACTTATTTGACATCGTTAAATTTTATGCTAATGTGCTTCCCTAGAATATCATCAGTAGGACAGATGCTTGTGCTTTAATATACAAATCAGGGATGCTTTTCCATCCCCCAAATGGCAAAGGAAATTTTAAAGAATCTGCAATTTTAGATATAGAGCCTGTCTCCATATAAATGGGGTTTACGAAATAAAACGTTCAGGGTTAAATGTTATAATCTGGTTGTCTCTTCAAAATGTTTCATTATGAATAGTTATCTACCTGACTAGGGTTAGTTTTGTTGTCTTCAATGAGGAGAAGAGTCCTAGTGAAGGCCTTGTTGCTTATGAATATTTAGAGTTCTGCTTCTGAAATGTTGATCTTGAGATGCAAGTTTTTCTGTGCCTTTGAATATATCAGGCCACAGTGTTAGTTTTTAAATTATTCTCTATACTTCTATTCCTTTAGTCCCCTAACCTTATGGCAGAAGCTGTTATGGTAATACTCTTGGGCATCTTAGCTTTTTGTTTGCATGTAGAAAATGTTCAGCGTAAAAGTATGAGTCACTTGGTGGGAGAGGCATGTCAAGTGAGGCAGCAGAACTAATATGGAAAGACAAGTTTATGGAAAAACTCATTGCCTTTCTGGCATTATCAGCTTGCCTATGTGTAGTATCAGCTTTTGTTTCTCCAACATTTGTGGATGCTTTTGTGAATGCTGTCAATCAGATGGCTGGAAAATTTTAAACAAGAGCAACCAACTAAAGAGTTGTCTTGAGAATTGACTCAGATCTTTTTGGTGGTGCGTGGGTGGACATGAAGTCATTACCATTTTTTGGTCTTTGTAGGCCTCTTCTTGTGTCTGACAGCTCAGGGCAGCATTTTACTGTTGACTCTTAATGGACCTGCAGTGCTAGAGCTGACTCTGCACAGTTCAAAACGCAAGGTTGGCAGTCTAGCAAGATAGGGTAAAGAAGCAGCTTTGAGAGGAGTTCTTGCCCCAAATTACTTGCTAAAAATATATTAGATCTGATATAGCATAAAACTTATACAGCATAAAAGGATTATTTGGATAGAAATGTTATTCAGCTTAACAGGTCAGGAGGCAATGAAATTTTTGCAATGAGTTCTGTTCTTTGGGGAATTGCCAGGAAAGAAATACGATAATGGTTGTGAAGAAACTACTGTAAAGGTGGAGTTTCATAGCTGTTCATTTTTACCCTAGTTTTTTCAGATTTTTCTATATGATCTCTTAAAATAGTCTGAGATTAGTATTTCTCACAGTTATGAGATCTTCTGAACTGTCATATTGAAAACATCGGTTATGCCCTACTATCTAGGGAAATGTAGCCTTTGTTGTTGCCAGATCAGACATCGTATATGAAAGTTTAAAAAAATTCTGAAAATCCAGCCTCACTTATAAGTGAGGCAATTTCAGCTCTTTATAAAATAGCTATTTGTGATTGCATTCCTACCCAACAATTTTTTTTTCTTTGGTGAGGACAGTTTGCCACAAGCTAGAGAAACACATTCCCTGTCACTAAATAATGCCGTTTATATTTTTCCTCCCCATACACATTTCTTCCTTTTCTGGAAAGAGGTTTAACATTGAAATGAAAATTTCATCTGCCTATTCAGTATTAAAGTGCCATGATATTTAATCTGACATATTGCCCCTGAACAACTCTGTTGCTATAGAACTTTACTACCTTCAAGGCAGCAAAGCAGGTGTATTTTAGTGCTATGTGACTAGTTCCCAATCCATGACTTCAGAGGATAAAAGAATTCTAAATTATGTTTCAGGACAGCTTCTTTGTATGTTTTTTTGTAGAGTTAAAAATTCTAGGCTGGGCACGGTGGCTCACGTCTGTAATCCCAACACTCTGGGAGGCCGAGGTGGGCGGATCACTCAAGGTCAGGAGTTCCAAACCAGCCTGAGCAAGAGCGAGACCCCATCTCTACTAAAAATAGA